ACATATATCTAATTTCTGAAATTGAATATATAAATTTTTACCTTATCGCTGATAATAAAATATATTTATTATTGTAATTTTGTATTGAAAACAATAGGATACTCAAATGGTTTTAAATGCACTATATTAATCATTTATTGACTTATTTTAGTTTTTTTTTTATCTAATTATAAAATTTTAGTAGTTATAAGTAACAATAAATATACATAAACATGAATTAAATGAAACTTAAAATTAAAACTAATTTGTTGACAATAGGTTGGTATGCAGATATTTAGATCTAGATTCATATCTTATTCTACAATGTTTCAACCAAATTTCACGAACAGGTCCATGGGAAATCGAAGGTTTGGTATAAAACGACTCGAGAATCGCAGATCTAGAGAATGCCATAATTCAAATAGATTTAAGAGTACCTGAATCAGAGCTGTGAAGACAGCGAACGACATACAAGTATCATTTATTATTTTTGGTGCTGTTGCTGGGAACCTGATCTGCGAAATCAAATCCCATGAAAAACATACTGGTGCAAATGGTTGTAACTTTGGAGGAATAAAAACAATTGGAATTGATTTATTATCTCTCCACTTGTATGAAGAAGGACCAAGCAGTACGGATAGTTTCGTCCATGTAATCATGTACGAAAGTTACCATGGTTATTTGATTTATTACCATAGGGATATAGCTATACTATTTTCTACGAAAACTGCAAAATCCAAAAAAAATTTCATTCGACAAAAAATTTCAACAAAAAAAATAGTGATAATTAAAACTAAACTTTTTAATCTAATGCAAATGAAACTCCAACATTTTAATTTAACGCCAATTAAACCTTAAAAACAAAAGTTGTTAAATCATTAACAAATTTAAAATTTCTCTTAGAAAGATAGGCTAAAATTTACATATTTACTCTTCTTTAAAGTAAAACTATTTCATCAGTTTATATTGTAGTTAAATGACCATCATTCAAAAAAATAAAAAATAAAACACATAATCACTTTCAACTAAAGTAATTAAGGGCTAATGGTAGAAACGATTCTCAGAGTGATTATGGAACTGTTACGTTGGAAATATTTCCTCTAATTTAAATGAATAACCAAAACATTGTGTCTATATATTCATCGGAAAGACTCTCAATTTTGTTTCATTTGAGTTTCAAAATTTGCGCCTAATCTCTTAGATTTTAATTGTTATGGTTCTCTCTTTCCCAGCCTTCTCTTTCTCGTTTCTGTTATGGAAGAAATCATTGCAAGATTTTCTGCCTTATCTCCCGGCGTCGATGAGATGATGATTGATATTCCGGTCGACGAAGTTTGCGAATTGCTCCCAAGACTCACCGAAAAGATATGTGGCCGTTAAATAGAGGTTAAGTGGAACGGAATTGCCTAGGTGGTAGAGTTGTAGAAACACTTGTTCCTTCCGCTTATTTCCATGGAGCAATATGCTACTACTGAAACTTTGAAGAATTGAAATTTTAGATCAAAACACTATTCATGGATAGTATGAACTACGTAAACAAGAATTCTTGAACAGAGAACAACGAGACCTATTAGTCACTAAATCAAAAAAAAAATTCATTAATGAAAGATGGATATCCATTGAAAAAACATAAATACACATATCGGATGAAATTGTTGTTGCTATATGTTCACACCTTCTACGAGTATATTAATATGTATTTGTAATATATGTATTTGTGAGTTCATGCTAAAAAATTAATGTAAATATGTATTTGTAATATATGTATTTGTGAGTTCATGTTAAAAAATAAATGTAAATATGTAGACATTTCCAACATGGCTTATATAATTATTTAGAATGTTTTGATTGGTTAATTTAATTGATGTGTGCGTTCAAATCTTCATTGAGTGACACATATGATTTTTTTTACTTAATGTCTCTTCAGTTAATATATAGAT